AATTTGTCAAATATCTATACATGAGCAACACTTGAACATTTAAATGCAAAGAGAAATGGCTTCTTTCATAATAAAAATTAATGTTAAAAAAAACCCAAAATATTGAAAATTAGCATTTGGGGTGGGTGATGGATGCACTGGGGTTCAATATATTATTCTTTCTACTTTTGTGTATGTTGGAAATTTTACATAATGAAAAGTTGTTTTTAAAAATGATAAATCTGGGGCCAGCCCCGTGGCCTAGTGGTTAAGTTTGGCGAGCTCTACTTCAGCAGTCCAGGTTTGGTTCCCAGGCGCGGACCTACACCACTCGTTAGCAGCCATGCTGTGGAGGCAACCCACGTACAAAAAAATAGAGGAAGACTGGTACAGATGTTAGCTCAGGGCGAATCTTCCTCAAGCAAAAAGAGGAAGATTGGCAACAGATGTTAGCTCAGGGCTAATCTTCCTCAAGAAAAAAAAAAAAAGATCATTTTCTCTTTCAGAAGATAAGCCAAAATTATAAAATTTGAAAGATTTTCTTTCACATAAATGTCTTTATACTACGAATTAACTTTGTCAGCAACAATGTTTAAGATTCAGAGATGTTAAGAATTCTCTTGACAAGACTGCCACCTACCGGATTACCTTAAATTCCACCATTTTCATTTTCGATTTAAACACCTTAAATACCACATATAAACCAATAAAAGGCAAGAGTTTCTTTTTCCAAAAAAGATAAATCCGAGTTTTTACAAAATTTCCCATATCACAGAAAATTCTGTTATGTTGAACAAAGTATTTTGGGGAGAAGACCCATTAGCCTGAAGCAATCTCAGTTAATTTTAGTTTGGATGTTTATAGAGGTCATCTGACAGAACATGTGAAAAAGGAAGCAAAGAAACTTAACATGGATTTAGGAATTACTGCTGGATATATGATCCATAGTTGTTAGATATTATCATCAATTATATTAAAATAAAAGCAATACAGTAAGTGGTTATATATGGAATGAGTCTTTTTTTTAACTATCCTAATGTTATACAAATGGGTACTGGTGGCTTAGGTAAAATTTCTAATGATAACAATATATACTGCTTCAAAAATTGCTTTATCTCAAACAACTGAGGCAAAAATTGAGATAATGGGCTCTGGAAAAATCTCTTAAAATTATTCAAAAAGTAGCTTAAGTGATAATGAAGACGCCGATGTTAAAGATTATTGAGAGTCTGAATAAAGTTGTTTTATGAATATGTGAGTGGGCAAAAAGCAACATTTCTAAGTTATTTTGTGTAATATATTTAAAAGGTATGTGTAAATGTTTAAGTTAAAAGAAAACATTATAATTAGGCATTCAACTATTTCCCCTATATTCATCAAGATTTCTATATTCAAGTTGATGAAACTTTGAGCCCCTCATTGGGAAAAGGAAGAACTGCTTTATACACAAGCAGAGTACAGGCCTCTATAGCAGAAGCATAATACACCATTCGATCATAAAACTCCAGGATGTTTAAATACGATTTACTAAAAGTTAAATTACTCAGTGCTTAATACTTCTTTGCTTGTGTTACTACAGACTTCTTAAACGGAAAGCTGACTTTTGCTATGCCAGAAAGGAAGTGCTGGGGGCATGTCATAAGGACACATGGTTTGAAGGGGCTCCCACTGGCAAATTCTGGGACAATCTAAGCACCAAATAATGGAGCACTGTAGTGAATTATAAACTATTGCGGAGGCGTACAAGTTCAGAAGTCTATACCAATAATAAGGAGATAAGTAAATGGAAGAGAAGAAGAGCTCTGGCTTATAACAGAATGCCAAGAGCTGACTGATAAATCTAGAGAAAGCGCAGGAGATGCAAAATTATCATTTTGCATTCATCACAGTAAAGACTAGATCAGACAAGAATCATGAATAAACGCTGAAGGAAGTTTTCATGAGAAGCAGGATATTTTCAGGGCTCTCCTCACAGACTGCTTACTAGTTCCAAGGGAGAAAAAAAAAGGAATTACAGTGGGGAAATCAGACATCTTGACTGGGTAATCAAAATTAACATCACCAGCGAGGGACAGATGGTTATCAAGTACCTCCGGATGGGAAACATTGTGAAGGAAACAACATCACCTACGCAGCAATATATAATCTGAATCTAATCACAAAATAAATGTTAAATAAACGCAAAATGAGCAATGTTATATTAAAAAGAGGGTAAAGCAATGTATTCTTCAAAAATATCCATGTTGTAAGAGACAGAGAAAGTCTGTGGGAATGTTTCCAGATTAAAGAGAGCTAAAGACATATGGCAACTAAATGCAATATCTGACCCTAGTGTGAACCCCGAACTAGAGCGGGAAAAGGATGTTACTGGGTTAACTGACAAAACTGGAGACAGATGGTAGGTTAGACAAAAAGCATGCATGAAAGCTAAATTTACTGAAGTTGATACATATAATGTGGTTATATAAGAGATATCCCTATCCCTATCTTTAGCAAAGACATATTTCCTAAGGAAGTATATAAGGATAAAATGCCATGATGTATGTAACTTACTCTTAAATTGTTTAAAAAAACAATAGTGTGTGTGTGTGTGTGTGTGTGTCTGCAGGTAGGGAGAGAAAGATTGAGAGAGTGAGAGAGAGACAGAGAGCAAGAGAGAGAGCGAGAGAGGAGAGGAATTGAGAGATTGACAAAGTGGGTGCAAAGCAAATGAAGTAAAATGTTACCAATAGGTAATTCTGAGTAAAGAGTATACAGGTATTCTCTGTACAAGTTTTATTTAGTAAATTTTACCAGTTTTATTTTGTAAGTTTGAAATTACTTCAAAATAAAAAGATTAAAAGATTGCTGTACCTACTGTTAACAAAAAAGAAAATTAAAATCTCACCATCATTCTTTAATAACTAAAATATCCAAAATCAACAATGCCCTTAATCTTCAGCTATTTTTCATCAATTTTAAGAAGCCACCAATTTTAAGATTCACAATTATTTTTTATACCAGTAAGAAAGGGAAAAAAAGATAACTATAATTATAAGATGCCACCAATTGTTAAACACACCACAATTTCAGAGATGTTAAATATGAAAACATGTGCATCTTAAAATTGATGAAACATGGTTTTTCTATAAGGTCAAACTTCAAAAACAATTAAAAACACACGCACGCATCACTGTACCAGGATGCTGAACAGAACTTTTTTTCTGTTATCTGGACGCTGGCAGTAGGACCCAAAGATGGGAACAAAGTGGAGCTAAACACCTGCCATTCTTTTTTTTTTTTTTTTTAATTTTTATTTATTTTTCCCCCAAAGCCCCAGTAGATAGTTGCACGTCACAGCTGCACATCCTTCCAGTTGCTGTACGTGGGACGCGGCCCCAGCATGGCCGGAGAAGCGGTGCATCAGTGCGCGCCCGGGATCCGAACCCGGGCCGCCAGCAGCGGAGCGCACGCACCCAACCGCTAAGCCACGGGGCCGACCCAACACCTGACATTCTAACGAAAGCCGCAGATAACCGGGCGCCAGACACCTCCTCCTACATTTTACAGGGACTGAGGTGGTCATGATGCCATCAGCCACCACCTCAACTGGCCCCACCTGCATCCCCATCTAGCGAATGTGGGGGGGAGAGGGAGCGGTCATAGTGGACCGCAGCCTTCATGAACAGGTTTTTCTTTCTCTGGTGATGATCGCCAATGTCTCCCACTCCTTGAAGCCAAGTGAATAGGTATTTGTTTTTATTTCCAGTTTTTTGCCACTATAAACAACACTGTAACAAATATCCTTGAAAACATGTCCTTAGTGTACTTTCATTTCCAACAGGACAGATTCCCTAGAATGGGACTAATATGTTCAATTATAGGTATTTTTTTATCTTTATAAATGTTGCCAGATTGCTTTTCAAAAACGATATACACACACTTTCCCCTTTTCCACAGATCCCCATCAGCTCTACATGTTACTTTTGCCAATCTGATATCCTACTATTACATTAATTACAATTCCATCTATTCGTGAATTGGGACATCTTGACATATGTTTGTTAGCCACGTGAACAGCTTTCCTGTGATTTGTCTATTTATACTCTTGTTTTTCTCCTCCTTTTTTCCTGCCAATTGTTAAGAAATTTATGTGTATTAACCTTTCATCTGTCATTTACATTACAAATATTTTTTACAGAATTATCATTTGTTATTCTTTGTTTATGGTATCTTCTGTCCTACAAGATTTGTTTTGTTTTTATATGGTCAAATATATACATAAATATATAAATGCACGCACACACATATATGTATGTGTGTGTACGTATTTATATACTTAAACGATGTATGTGACTTTTAAGTTTATGAAATCCCAGTAACTAAATGGACTTTTTAATAATCAAAGATGAATGAGAATTTGAGGTATCTGATCTATATGTAAACGATGGACAGCAGGAAAAAGAAATGTGAACAAACAGGGTTGAATCAGTTATTACTGAAAAAATGAAGCCATTTCATGTTTCTTTCCCTCATCAATTGACATTTTCAATGAACCAGTTACATCTAACTTATTTAAGTGAGGAAACCATTTTGATTTTCATTCTCATTTTTTTTTTTTTTTTGTGAGGAAGATCAGCCCTGAGCTAACATCCGTGCTAATCCTCCTCTTTTTGCTGAGGAAGACGGGCTCTGAGCTAACATCTATTGCCAATCTTCCTCCTTTTTTTTCCCCCCAAAACCCCAGTAGATAGTTGTACGTCATAGCTGCACATCCTTCTAGCCGCTGTATGTGGGACGCGGCCTCAGCATGGCTGGAGAAGCGGTGCGTCGGTGCACGCCCGGGATCCGAACCCCGGGCCGCCAGTAGCGGAGCGCGCGCACTTAACCGCTAAGCCACGGGGGCCGCCCCTCATTCTCATTTTTAAATGGAGAAACTCAAGTATGGTGAAAAGACAGCTGAGAGTCAATAGTACATCTCTTAAAATACAGTAACAATGTCAACACAAGTTTTTGATAACATTTAGGAGCAAGCTGCTTACCTTTCAATAGCTAATTCTTTGTTAGAAAGTTGCTGCACTGTAATCACAACCTTCTTCTCTATTCCTTGCTTTAACTTGAAATAAAATTTATCTCTATCCTTAGGCACAGGACTGAAAGATGCAAAAAGAGCAGGAATTACCAATACAATAATTAATACAATAAAATAAGATAATCTATTCCAAAGTTAGAATGAGATAAGGTATTGAAGCAACACCACCCTTATTCTTAAGATGCACTAAACTCTCATCTTGCCAGAGTAACAAACCACAAATTTTATACTCAGCAAAATAGAGTTGCTATTAAGTTTTAAATGGGATTTACAAGAGCCTTATATTTTATCTCTAACCAAGGTTAAAAACAAGATTTCTAAAATGACATCATTTTGAATTTTAGTTTTAAATTTAAAAAGTTTAGGAATATGGTTTAATTATTTTTTAAGACTGTCACATTTCCGATTTACCTGGTTGTGTGGCCATCCATGAGTGCCTTTAACATAGTGAAACCCAAGGCAAAACAAAGTGAGAAGAGCGTCCTTTTAAATATCTAGAATTTGAAATGACTGCGACACGTCCAAGTAAATATAAATAAAGGATGAACAAACAGATATAGATTGGGGCAAGTTAAATTCAGCCTAGAGCAGACTGACTATTCTTAAGAATTAATTCAATAAAACAATAAATGTCTAAAATATAGGTTGTCTTATCTTAAAAGGAAAAACACCTTGAGCAACTTATTTGAAATAAGACTCAACTTCTGTATCTGTGAAAAAGAGATAAAATACCTACCTAACAATTATTGTTAGAATTAAAGGCACAGTTAAGGCACACAGGTGATGGTTAAAAAGTATAACTGTTTCCTATAATGTATTTTTGAACTTGAGAAAAACAATCTAAATATACAATGGAAGGAAACAATTAATTAAATGATGGTCAAACCACACAACATACTACTGGTAATCATCAAAAATGATTTTAATTAAGAATATTTTAATGAAAAAATTTTTATATCATAAAAGGTAAAAGAAAAAAATTATACTGTATATATACAATTGTAGAAAAATATCCCCTAGAAATAAACAAAGGGAATAAATCAAATAGGAAAAGTGATTGTCTGTGGCTGACAAGACTATAGCTTTTTATTCTACTTTTATTATTTTACTAAATTTTCTAATAAATATCAGTATTTTTAAATATTAAGAAAATCATTTACATAAAATATCTGAAAAGCATGAGAAAAGTAGAACATATTCATTCACCAAACATTTATTTATCACTTTAAAACTTTATACCAACACTGTATAGTTTCTGGAGCCTTTATATTAACGAATATTATATTTCAGGCACAATATCAATTTTTATTCTTTCTAAATAACCTCACCTAAAGTTTCCTTTTCCATCATCTTCTTTTACCTCCAAGGAGACACTGAAGGTAAACACATCACTGTCAGGGGTAGGAATAACTGAGTCTTTAACATCCGACACTTGTCTGGAAGAACGTTTGAATGCTGTACAGAAACTATATAAAATTCTGCTTACCTAAAAGAATAAAAATGGAAATACCATTAGACAAAAGTTTTTACTGCATTTTAATATCCTTATCTCCTAATTCTTGAATCTATAACTTTGCATGATCACAATTTTCTTTGGCAGATAAAGTAAATATAGTCTCAACAGATACATATATATCATATATATACATAGTTTATAATATATATTATATAGTTTATAATATAGTATATATAGTCAAGCATGTGTGTATATCATTTGCTTCTTTGAATGTGGCATTTAAGCACAGTAACAAAAATGTTTAAGTTCGCAAAAGAAGCTATACTTATTTCTAGATGTTTCAAGGCCTCAGAATATATTAAATTGCAATGAATGAATCCTAAGATAATTACTAGAATGATGCTGGTATCTAAATCTTCCCAATGAACACACACAAACAAGGTTTTAGCCCAAGTTGTCAATTTCTCTTTCACTTCCCTCAGCTTCAGAAGGCTAGAGACTAAGGCATAGAATAAAGCAAATCCTGGTTTTAGTAATAAGAAAATATGATTTAAAGAGCTTCCAGAGTTGTTACTCAATGTTGTTGTGGTATAAATGTGTTGCAGGATTCCCAGAATGAATGCTGAAATCGTCTTATCTATTTCATTAGTATTAAAATATCTCTCTCTCTCAGTGGCTTTTACTCGTCTCCTAAAGTGAAGAAGTGCTCTAAATCCCACACTCTTCCAGAAGTTATTCTCTTCCTTAGTTCCAAAAGAAGCATCATACTATCTCAAACTTGTAAGCTCGAAGCTCAAAAGACCTTCCAAATCTCTCAGGCCACCCATGAGGTCAACAATAAAAACAACATGAAATAAGAACAGTTTAACAAAGGTCATATTCTCAAAACCTCATGTTGGGAGGTACAAGAGACTTCTCGGAATATTAACAAATCCTTCACTTTAGATAAAGTGAATTCTAACTATTCATTGAATTATATTAGTCTAGGACTATAATATTTTGTAAATTGCTTGAAACAAGAGCAATCATCAGTACTTTTAACAGAATTTCTTAAAGTAGGGGGTCTTTCCTCATTTTTCTATTTTTATTATATCCACATATTCTTTTTTCATACACACAGTCTATCACATTCAAAAACAAGTGGTCCTCAAATTTCCAATAGCCATACTTACATCTATTAATCAATGATTATCCTAAACTGCCTTTCTAATGCCAAATTAATACTTTCTTAAATTAACTGACTTACACACTTAACTGTATAAGAATGCTGCCTGCCGGCCTCAAGTTAAATTTCAGCAGTACCATCGTATTTCAGTGCTTGCAAAATTTTTTAAACATTTTAATGTGTTATCCCATTGTAATTTTATATAAATGAGTAAAAACAATAAAAGTGGCAAAGGATTGATATTAAAAGCTGTAGGCCTCAATCTTATACAATTAAAACAATGATAAATTCACTCATTCGTTCAACAAATATTTTCTGAGCACCTTCTGTGTACTAAGTATTATTCTCAGTGCTAGGGATGCAGCAGTGAACATGGAGCTTACAGTCCAGCAAATGTAAGTTGAATGCGCTTGGGGTGGGTGAGAAGGAATCATTAGATAAGCCAAAATCAGAAATATTTAGCCTCAATGTATACTTATTTGACTTAGTTCAATAACTTAAGTGATATAGAAGAAAACAGAACCAAAGAATATGCTAGAAATAACTCACTGAAGATTATGCCTACAAGGTAAAAAGTAAATAGGGAGTTTAAACTACTGTTAGTTCTTTGAATACTCTCCACTTCCTAAATAAAAATGTGCAGTCTATTGTTTACTTTTTACATATTCAACTTTAGGATATTTTTAGGAAAATATTATACGTGAAATAACATATCTGTACGTAATTTTTGTGTGTGTGTGTGTGAGGAAGATCAGCCCTGAGCTAACATCCATGCTAATCCTCCTCTTTTTGCTGAGGAAGACCGGCTCTGAGCTAACATCTATTGCCAATCCTCCTCTTTTTTTTTTTCCCCAAAGCCCCAGTAGATAGTTGTACGTCATAGTTGCACATCCTTCTAGTTGCTGTACGTGGGACGCGGCCTCAGCATGGCTGGAGAAGCGGTGCCTCGGTGGACGCCCGGGATCCAAACCCGGGCCGCCAGTAGCAGAGCGCGGGCAGTTAACCGCCAAGCCACGGGGCCCGCCCCTGTACGTAATTTTTAATAGGAGTCAAACCTCAACCATATTTATTCTTTTTTCCTCCTCTTCCATATCTTCTTCTGTTTCATTTCCTTTGTGCCAAAGCTATCACCAAGACTGCCACATCAGGCCACACCAAAAAAGTCAAAGAACTTGGCAAATTCTAAAGTAGATGGCAAGGTTCAGGAACTTCTTTTTTAAAAGGCTAAGTATATGGGCTGAGCCAGAGTGGTAGAGAATGATGGGGGGAAAAAAATCAGACTACACCTTTCTCTCTTTTTGCGGGAAGAACACAACAGTATACTAGCTTCATTAACAGCAATCAAACTGTATTTAATCCTGACTATGTCTTAAAAGTTGCTATTTCCAACAACAAGGTTAAAATCATTTGTGAACTCTAGAGTCTGTGAATAAGCTGGAATGGTGATCCAAGCATTGGTAAGGTAGAGCAGCTTTAGAAACAATGATTATCAATGTCTGTAGTTACTGGAACAAATTTGGTAACCAATTACATCATGAAAAGAAAATTAAAAACACATACCACAGCAAACACTTCTATACATGTCACAAATAATCTAGAATAGGCATTTTTTTTGCAGAAGGCAAAGGTTTATTGACAAATAATACAGTACAATTTTTCCCCAGAAGGCAGTACCTATAGAAAGCACTAATTAACACAAAACTATCTGTTGGGGTGGTTGTTGTTGTTATTGATGTTTTTGAAGAAGTGGGGAGGAGGGCACATGTAGATATGTGGAAAGGAGATACACCAAAATCTTAACCCTGGTGGAATTCTGAGTAACTTTTATTTTCTTTTTTATTTCAGTATTTTCCAAATTCTGAAATATGTATTACATGTTAACAGTCCAAAAAATGCTATTAAACAAAAAGGTATTCACTGAAAATAAATAACATAGCTAATTTTTCCAAGATAAAGCCTTCTCACTAATATTGGTGAAAGAGAATCAACTCTTTTAAAAACACCAAATAACAAGAAAATGTTCACCCAAGAAATAAACATAGAAAAATCATTCTATACAGATACCCAGAAAGATATGTGTTAAAATTGTTAAAACAACTTGCTCAAATATATTACTCACTGAAAGGAAAATAAGAGGCATCACACAAGCAACTTTTTAAAAATTATAAAAATTTATTCAAGGAAAATGCTAACAACATAACTTCTGAATTAATTTCCAAAATAACGCATTCTGCTAAAATATATCAATAAATATCTGTTTAGAAATAATATTTTCCATGCAAGGAATAAGGTTTTCTATTATATAGTGGCATATCAGCAACCCCAAGAAAAACCAGTGCATTAAGAATAAAGATCTTCCCAATGATGCCCTTGATATTTGATACCTCTGAATGTCTTTAACACTAGAGGATAACAACCGTGTTCTAAAATACAACACTGAGAATTGCTAGTGATGGTAAGTATGTTAAAACATACAAACAACAAACTCAAAATTTGTTTTAAAGAAAATGGTTACACTGACTAGTAGAAATAAATTCTCAAAGAAAGTCCACTAAGCCTTTTAAAGTATCTTTAAAAACAGTTTTGTATAATATACCCATAAAGGTGCCACAAGAATAGGTGCCTCTTGGCTTCTTTCAGTATGCTTTCTGATACTCTGCTTTGTCTGCACATCATTCTCCCTGTACAAAGATCATTGGCATCAAGGTTCTTCCGGCTGGACTCCCCAACTCTTTTGCCACAGACCATCGAGATCCACTCCAGCAGAGTCCTCAGAAGAATATCCAGGGTAACAAGTCAAACGTGTCCTAACCCTTCTGTGGGAACCCCTAATTCTTGTATCACAGATCCAACAAAGCTGTCACCCTCACTGGGCTTCCCCTCTACCACTGTTGGTGACTGCTGCTTATAGGATTTTATGGTGAAATAAGAGCATCACAGCGACAGCTGGTAGTGGCAGCCATGCTGCTACTCCTGTTTGAGAAGACGTCTTCTTGCCTTTAACTTTTTTTGTGTGTGTGAGGAAGATCAGCCCTGAGCTAATACCCACGCTAATCCTCCTCTTTTTGCTGAGGAAGACGGGCTCTGAGCTAACATCTGTTGCCAATCCTCCTCCTTTTTTTTCCCCAAAGCCCCAGTAGATAGCTGTACATCATAGTTGCACATCCTTCTAGCTGCTGTACGTGGGACGCGGCCTTAGCATGGCCGGAGAAGCGGTGCTTCGGTGCGCACCCAGGATCCGAACCCGGGCCGCCAGTAGCGGAGTGGGCGCACTTAACCACTAAGCCACGGGGCCAGCCCATTGCCTTTAACTTTAACGATAAACTTCTTCAGATTTCATCCAGGGACTCTGAAAACAATGGAAAACAAATAAATTAGTGAAATTCCTGCACAGTACATAGTTAAGCAGTAACAACGTCTGCTACCTGTTTCTGAGCTATCTTTGCCAACTGTTTGTGCTGATCAAAAAAGACCCAAGTACTAAAGACTAAACTTGTCCCTTTACCACAGATCAAGAAACGTCTGGGAACCAGGTAACCAGACAATCAGTAAATGCAACTAAAAGACTTCAGATTAATTAAAAGGATAATTATTTTTTGAGGGGAGAGAGGAAGATGTTGGACATCTTCTGTAAAAGGCATGAGTAAAACCCATAGGTAGCTGGAATGCAAGCTATATGACTGATAAATCCCTTTATAAAGCATAACTGAAAGACAAAAATCCACATTTGCTGCTTATAATATTTAAGCAACAGGAAAGATGTTACTGAAAATTATATGGGTCTTCAGAGTCACAGACTTCCATTTGAAACCCAGCTCTATCATCTATTCTCTTAGCCCTGGTATAAACAAAGGGTAACTATACAATTTATCCATCAAACCAGAACACTTATGTGAATAAAATGGAGTGCTATTAATAACACATCTGGACAATAAGCATACACTAGGACTGCTTCAGGCAAAGAGGAGCATAAGACCACTGGTCTAAATAAATAGGGATGTTATGGGTATCAAATAAATGCTTAGCACAGTGCCCGGCATAAGCTCTATAGTATTCAGGCTGGGTTATTTTTCATTTAGAAATGATCTCTCATAATAAACTTTAATGACAATCGTCATGTATTTCTCCTCCAAACAATTAATTTTACCACCGGTGTCCCATAATGTAACACTTTGAAAAATGTACTCTAAAAAAAATTAAACACAGACGTCACTTTATTACAATCTGCAGTGTACCAAAGATCTTCTCTAGAAATATAATTAACACTATACAACATCACATCCAAAATGGTCAGGCCAAGAATTCCGCACAGTTTTGTCCACTGCTTACCCACTGTTGAACCTCTGAAAAATGAGAAATACTTCCCCCACCCATAAACAAGTGGATGCTATAATCCAAAAGAAAGTTTCGTACCGTCATAGTTATGAAAAGTGCTTGCAGCTAGGTCCCTTTCAATTTCTTTCTGCAGCAGTGTTTCTGCCTCTCCAAGCAGCAGGTTCTCCAGTTCTTCAAGGTTTATTTCCTTGCTGTTGAGCACCAATTATCCAGAAACCACACGGGTATGTTAAATGTTGGCTGCCAACACGAAAAGCCAGGACTCTACCATCTGCTTCCCCACCTCTGTAGTGGAGTTGTAAGGATCAGAAATAGATCCCCTCATTCACAAACACAACATATGCTTTCAACATGTTTATATTCACTGCTTCCTATGTGCCAGGCACACTTGTACTCATTCACTCTCCTATCTATCACACCTTTTGGCCTAGCAGTCAGTATATATATAAATATATAAATGTTGAGATAAAAGAGATTCAGAACTGTCTAAAAAAACAAAAAACCAAACTTGAACTTCTTACACAGGCATGGTTTTTGGCAGACAACTTCTATGGCTACAATTTAAACTATGTGTGTCTATGCAAGTTCATTTTAGTGTAAATAAAATTAATCACCAGGGCATAGGAATTGACATACCACTCATGCTTTGTATCCAAAACACAGAAATCTACATTTCTATGAGTTCCCATGCTGTAGCCAGAAAAAAACTCTTTGAACCACTGTTAATACAATGGTTTATTTATGTTTCATGGTGAAGAAGAAATAGAATAACCGCTTTCAGCATTTTCTGCTGACAATATATGTTTCCAAAAGCAACCACACCTGAGACCTTGCTCGTCCAATCCCATTTATAAATGCCTTTGAAATGGTTGTAAGTACTAAACTTCTAAAAGTGTAACTTATTTTTAATTCGGGGAGAACTCAATAGATACAAAAAAGAAGGCAATTTCCCCATGTATTTAACATCTGTTTGATTCTGAACTACTTCTCCAGTTTCAGGATAAACCACTACTTAATGATAGCTAAGAGAAACTTACTGGCATCTTCAAAGGATTACAAGTTGATACCCCTGCTACATGTGAGCATTTGTATTTTTAATTAGGCCAGTTCTACAGAGCAAAAGCCAGCCTCTGAGTGAATGCATACAACAAATAATCACAGGTCAAAACCACAGAGATCTATAAAACTGTCTTAGTATAATACCTAAGTGAAAGCAATATGCCACCATCAGGCACAGCAGAGAAACAAGCATTGTTACAGGCACTTTTTAAAAATCACATGGACGAATCGACTTGGGCAAAATAATAAAAGATGTGCAAAAATATTCTTCCTTTCTAAGCCTAAGTAATTACTACCATGGTGAGGTGGGAGGACAGCTCATCAAGTGGGATTTTTCTGTCCCATCTGTTAAGCTGAGAGTGCCCTATCTACAATACCACTTTAGAGCATACAGTTATCAGATTCAGCTTTCCATATTCAGTTTTATGCCATTACAAATATTAACTTTCTCTTTAGAAACATACTGCAAATTTATGTAATACGGTATATGGTCACACATGCTAATTTATATGACAATGAGATTAGGGTTCAAAAATAATATCCTAATTCATCTCTAAAGCAAACTGCTACAATATATCATACTTACTGCCTCTTTAATTTCACAGGAGAAAACATGTATCTGAAACTCTTCTGAACCATGGGAACTCTCTGTAAACGCAAAGCAATTGCTCTCTGTTGTCCCATCGTGTCCACGTGCACAGAATAACACCTTATAGATTGGAAAAGATGCTATCTCTACATTGCTGGACTGGTCTATGATTCTACAGAACAGGGACGAAAAATGAGATAAAACATTAACTATCAAAGAACAAACAGAAACAGTTTCACTAAGCCAATAACATATAAACACAGTTATCTTTTTTTTATTTTTGGTGAGGAAGATCAGCCCTGTGCTAACATCTGCCAATCCTCCTCTTTTTCTGCTGAGGAAGACTGGCCCTGGGCTAACATCCGTGCCCATCTTCCTCCACTTTATATGGGACGCCACCACAGCATGGCTTGCCAAGCCAAGCGTTGGTGCGTGCCCGGATCCAAACCGGTGAACCCCGGGCCACTGCAGCGGAGCACACGCACTTAACCGCTTGCACCACTGGGCTTGCCCCAACACAGTTATCTTAAAATTACAAAAATAAACCAGCACTAATAATGCAAGAAAACAAATTATCTTCATATTCCTGCTACATATATATATGTGTGTTTGTATATATATATACAAACACACAAATTCTTCACCTTCTTTTGACAATGACTTCATTTTTCTGTTTCCTATGATCCAATTTACTTACACCCAAAACCAAGTATCTGTTGCCTGGTAAAATCTATGTCACCCATTCATAAATGCTAGTCTCGTCCTGTTATGGCAAAAGGAATGCCAGTACAGAAGAGCACAGACCATCCCTGGAGAGTTCATTTCTATTTAGAGCAGCACCTGTAAGTTTATCCAAGCCCCAGGTCATTGTCCAACTAAGACCTCTTTTACACCAAAAAAGGTTGGAGTGGTTCCAAAGATGAACTTAACAGAATTTAAAAGGTAAAAGGAGTTTGTGGTATGTAGGAGAAAATAATTGTCTAACTTTCCCTCTACAAATCCTAAACCCTAGATTGTTCTAAAAACTCAACACTACTTCAGGATCTTCAACGGTGAAACCAAGGGGGTACCCACCAGGAACAGAGAGGCAAGTCAAAATACTAAGTCTTTGTCAAAGTGTCTTTGGCACTTTGAAACTAAATAGATAAAATGAATTTTAACATTTTTAAGAGATAGCATACAAACAATATAGCTACAAAACCCTTTCCTGAAAAATTCAAAGCATTTTTACCAAAACCCTGTAAATTTTTTTTTTTTAAAGATTTTATTTATTTATTTTTTCCCCCCAAAGCCCCAGTAGATAGTTGTATGTCATAGCTGCACATCCTTCTAGTTGCTGTATGTGGGACGCGGCCTCAGCATGGACGGAGAAGTGGTGCCTCGGTGAGCGCCCGGGATCCGAACCCGGGCCACCAGCATCGGAGCGCGCGCACTTAACCACCAAGCCACGGGGCTGGCCCCAAAACCCTGTAAATTTATACTGCTATTATTTTGGTACTTAGAACCTAGCTAACGTTTTCTCACATTCTAAACTTTGGAGAATGAGGCAAATCAGAGAGGATTTGAAAAAAGATTAAATCAGCCTTCAGGGAATATTACAGGTTCAGGACATATCTAACCTAATTTCCTAGACCTGGTTCATTTATTTGTTCCTTTAGCAAATATTTACTGAAAACCTGCTATGGACCAGATACTGCTCTAGACACTGAAGCTACAGCAGGGAAAAATACAAATAACCTGCTCCTTCTAGTGAGGAAGACAGACAATAAATGAATAAGCAAATAAATATATAATATAATAGCAAGGAAAAGTGCTATGAATAAAAAAAAGGCTCAGTAAGGGGAAAGAGAAGGATAGTTACATGATATGATCAAAGGAGTTTCCTCTTGATAAAATGTTTCTTGAGGTGAAATTGGAAAGAGGCAAAAAAGCCACTAGAAAACCAAGGAAAGACTGTTTAGGCAAAGGAAAGAGACTATACAAAGGCCCTGAGGTAGGAATCATGACTGACAGACCCTGAGGCAGGAATCACAACTGGGTTTGAGAAAGAACAAAGAGGCTACTATGACTGGAATGCAGTGAAGAAATGTAGAAAAAGGGTGAGAGAGGGAGACAGCAAGCAAGAGGGACAGAGAGAGAAGAGGGGTAGAAGATCAGGCCAAAGCAGGAGGTAATCGATGGCCAGACACGATAAAGATTTCGAATATAATCACAAGTGTGATTGGGGGCCACTGGAGGGCTGAATGTAGGAGAAGAACATTATCTGATTTACATTTAAAGAAATTCAAAGTTCAGATGACATTAAATATTATTCCCAATTAAGCAGAAGAGAAAAGGCCATTTTGCTTCTTTCCAGTCTGATGTAAAGAGCTTAAAACCTAGGGGTCACTTGAGTTTTTTGAAACATTGCTACAATGACAAGGTGAAGGCAGGTTTTTATGCTCCTTCAGAAGAGAGAAACACAAATTACAGGTATTTTTACAGTTATATTTCCATTTATAATATTCTAAGTATAACTCTGCAAATTCTCCTTCCAAATAAGGAACACAATCTAAGCCTAAACATGTTTACGTGTCTACAGAGTAAAACTGAATTCACAGTAAGTCCTAGGCCTGAGTTATGATATAATATCATCGCCACCACCCAAAAAATTTCATACGTGTCTAAGGGGAAAAAAAAATTACAGCTTACCTCACAGAACCTTCTGGAACATTTGGCACATATAGAGTAACAGGAAAGGGGTACTGACTGGAAGATTTCATAGTTGCCATTGCCCGTAAAGCCTCCACCTCGTTACGTGGGGAAGAAACTTTCATACATCCTAAGTAGGTCAGTTTGTTAAATAAAACACTATCTTCTTCAGGTAATCCACTTGGAGAAGATGGTCTGGGTGTAGAAATTTCTGAAGAAAAAAAAATAAACACTCAAAAGTTAACACAAAACTTCACAGTATAATTTCGCCCACTGCCCAAAAACGAATGAAAAATTACAAACAAAATTCATGTCTCTCTGTGTTTTCATTTCTTTTAATGTTTATTCTACATCTTAATTCAGAGTTCTGGAATTGGCTATTTTGTACTTTCAAATCTCTGAAAGTATTATGTTACTTAGCTATAACTTCTTTAGAGAAAAAAAATTCTAAGCTTTACATTTTAAAAAATCAAAAATATGGAGTTCAAATGATATAGAACAATAAGGAGAAAAAAATACACTAAAGACAGTGTGAATTAGCCTACAATTAATGAGGATTAAATAAAACTAAAATCAGTTAAAAGTTTCTCTTGGCTGTAAAGGATCCTGCATAGCACCAAATTTATTACATTAAGCAGTCTATCTTCCTAAGCAAAAGTAAACAATGTTAAGATGTTACATCTTATACCAATAGCAACAGAAGTCAAACTCCTTATTTTGCTCCTTCCTGGCTTGCTGGCTTCTATGAACTACGTAAATATTCCAATGGAAATTTCTTCCTCAAAATAATTATTTTGGTGAATGAGCCTATGATTGCTTCCCCCAATTCTCCCCTTTCCATTAATGAGTTTCTTTAAAAAAAAAAAAAAAAAACTGAGCCAGCCTTGGTGGTCTGTGGTTAAGATTCGACACTCTCACTGCTGCAGCCTGGGTTTGTTTCCCGGTCGTGGAACCACAGCACCCATCTGATGGTTGTCATACGATGGGGGCGGCTCACATAAGAGAAGCAATTAACAACTAGGATATACAACCATGCACTGAAGCTTTTTTAAAAAAAAAAAAAACAAAAACTGTTCACTTTAATTCTAAGCACAGAATGTAGCAAAGACCCAATTGTGGTTAGAGAGTATCTATCTGCATGTTATCAGGTAGTATAAAACTCTCCTTTTGCCACTCTCCCATCCCCACCTAAAACCCACAATCAGCTAGTCTCCAATTATTCCCTTGTTACCCATATCCATGCTGCACACAATTAAGCAGGCCTGTCTCACCCAAACTAGATCCTTGCAGCATGTTCAAATTCTCATTACCAGGATTCCGCCTACAGGATATTAATAAATAATTCACAAAAGCCATTCCCAACCTCCCCACTGCAGCTTCTAAATATTATACTAAAACATGCAACCTCACCACCTTACTTTCTGGCAGAACTAAAGATGCTCAAACAGAACCAGTCAAATTGAGTAAGAAGTCTGCTACAGCTTATACCTCTGAACTGAAAACACTAGACAGAACATAAAAAATAACTACTTGAGGATTCTTTTTAAAAAAAGGAAACAATAATAGACATATTGGAGAGAGAGTCAAAACTTGAAAAACCACCAGTATAGTGTTGGGGTTCCTATTTTTTTTTTCATCCTTTATCTCCTAGATTTGACCCAAAGGCAACCCAAGTTGTAGAAATGGGCAGTGAACAACAAAATTCTGAGAGAAATCCAATCTTCCTGGCCAAAGGACAGAAGGGAGTCCCTGCAAACAACAGTGTTTGGAGAATTATAACTTGTTTTTGGTTTTTTTCCTCTCTTCCTTTTTTCTCTCTCAGTTCTACCACAAGGCCAGCCCCAGTAATGGAGCTGCACTGCAAATGGAAGGTGGGGAGGGGGAGAAGAGAGTGCCTCACGCATCTAAAACTTGGAGGGAAAAAACTGTCTGCCGGGAGAAGAGAAAGAGATTAGTGCAGAAAAAAATATTTCTAAGAAATAATGGCTGAAAACTTCCCAAATTTGGTGAAAGACATAAATTAACAGACTCAAGAATCTCAGTGAACCTCAACAAAAATAACCTCAAAGAAAACCACATCCACATAATCAAACTGCTGAAAAGCAAAGATAATGAAAAAAATACTGAAAGTAGACAGAGAAACACAGCATGTTACAGATAGGAGTAAAGAAATACTCCTACAATAGGACTGCAGATTTCTCAGCAGAAACTATGGAGACAAGAAGACAGCAGAATAATATCTTTAAAGTGCTCAAAGAACAAACAGCATGAGAGAGAAGACTCATCTGTATATCCAAACAGTATTTTAGTAAATTGCAGTAAACTAGCAAAGATTTCCTGTTAAGAGTTGAATTCAAGTAGCCAGGATATAAGATCACCAAATGACAAAAACCAAGTTACCATGATGTCTGAACAAAAGCTCCCATCTTTCCAGTTTTGTTTTTTTTTTTTTTTTTGTAAAGAAGATCAGTCCTGAGCTAACATCCGTGCTAATCCTCCTCTTTTTGCTGAGGAAGACCAGCTCTGAGCTAACATCTATTGCCAATCCTCCTCCTTTTTTTTTTTTCTCCCAAAGCCCCAGTAGATAGTTGTATGTCATAGTTGCACATCCTTCTAGTTGCTGTACGTGGGACGCGGCCTCAGCATGGCCAGAGAAGTGGTGCGTCGTCGGTGCGCGCCCGGGATCCGAACCTGGGCCGCCAGTAGCAGAGCACGCGCACTTAACCGCTAAGCCACCGGGCCGGCCCCTTTCCAGTTTTATAACAGGCAAACAACATACCATTAATGTTCATTTTACACCATTTAAACCTAAATACTCTCTAGACAGTTCTTTGCCATTGAAGTTATGTGTCATTTTAAACCAACCAAAACAATTCTGTCAGCAAGAACTGTGTTGATTGCAACTATGAATAGGCAGCTGAAATGTGGTGTCTTAGTCCATGCAGGCTGCTTTAACAAAATGCCACAAACTAGGTGGCTTATCAACAGTAGACATTTATTTCTCACAGTTCCAGATGTTGAGAAATCCAAGATGAAGGCACTGGCAGATTCAGTGTCTGGTGAGAGACCACTTTCTAGATTGCATCTTTTCACTGTGTCCTCACATGGTGAAAGGGATAAACTAGCTCTCTGAGGTCTCTTTTATAAGGGCATTAATCCCATTCATGAGAGCTCCGTACTCATAACCTAATCACCTCCCAAAGTCTCCACCTCCTAATACCATCACCTTAGGGGTCAAGATTTCAACATACGAATTTTGGGGAGGACACATTCAGATTATAGCACATCTTTTTATTGAAAATGAAAACCAAAAATACATAACTAGGAGAGAATACTAAAACTTACTTATAAAGCAAAGGAAATTCTTCTTATTCACCAAGATCTTCAGTGAAAGATATATTTTTAAAAATGTATTTAGTGTAATAGGTATTGAAAACACAAAAAAGTACACATGGTCCCTTATCAAATATGCTCAGAAATAAGAATCATATTATCTAAGTCACTGCAAAGGATAATTGATTCCAAGAACCCATCAGAGCTACATTAGAAAAGGTATTCCTTCCCTTTGATTAATACATTAACTAAAAAATAACTTAATTATACGAATGCTGGTACCTGTATGCTTTGGGTTTTGAGGGAGGGTGGGGATTTAAGAAATTCAAAAGATAAAGCAAAGTACAATGAATAATATAATGTCTCATGTTCCCTTAATCAAGAACTAACAAAAATTAATACTTTGTAAAGTTTGTTTCCAATCTTGTATTTTATTAAAATATTTTTAAAAATTAAAAAAAAAAAAATATATATATATAGCCTAAGTCCCCTTAAACTTAAATCTCGCCATGAGTATGGACTATACACTGAGACCTACGAGTCTTTATAAGAATCATCAAACCAGGGGGTGCTCTTGGAGATCCTCAACACATTGCAAATATCTTCTCTCCTAGCCTGTCATTTAACCATATTTACTATGGTACCTTTCTCATTCAGAAGATTTAATTTTCATCTACTAAAATATAACTCTCTTTTCCTTTATGATTTGGCTTTTCCTACCCTGACAAACACAAAAATATTCTCCAATATTTTCTTCTTATAGGCTTATTTTTCACATTTAAATATTTGATTCACTAGGAATAAATTTGGTGTTTAGAGTAAGTTAGAGCCATCATGGCCCCATTGTGCAGCACTCTGGCCTATATCTATACTTACCCTACACCAACATACAGAAATGTATCATGAATGCCCTACGCCATTCAGGATAATCGCATCTCTTCTGTCAGAGTGACTTATTGAGGAGTTTGAATGCAACCAAGGCCTACACACCAATCAGTTCATGTCATCCCCCTGACAATTAGGAAATGGTTCCATTGGTCCAGTCAGAGTAAAACTCATAACTTTTGTTCAATGGATAAAAGAACAGAGCCCTTCTCTCTGCCACCAGGCATGAACAAATCACCTGCCCTTACTTATCAATTTCTGTTGCTAACTACTTTGTAACCGTAAAGGAAGCCAGTTAAGGAGAAAGGTGACATGGAGAAGATCAAAGCTGACTAGTTTACAAAGAAACATTACGAGAACCCAGATCAAACCACATCTCTTGTGTTTAAACCAGCTGAAGCATAAGTTGGGTTTGGTTTAGTTCGGCTTTTCTTGCAATCAAAACCATTTTGACTTGCAAGTTGGTATTCCTACTACCAATCCTACTCATTCATGAATGTATTTATTATTTAATACACCGATGAGTTGATATGCTATTTTACTTAGAATTTTCACAAATTATAATTTGAAATAACTGTGGTCAAACTGAGTAAAAAGGCACATCATATGAAATATTACACTATTCTCTGATATCCAAGAATTTATTCATTTGTTAAATAAGTATTTATTGAGGGCCTACTACCTGCAAAGTACTAGGGGTAAAATGAAGACCCAGACATAGTCCCTGCTCTCAAAGAACACTGAGACTGATTTTACAGGTAGAGGTACAAACAGAAACATACGAACAAAAGTGGGAACTCTTGATCAGAACTGAAAAGCTGGTGGCTCTGATCTTAGAAAACAAAGCTAACAGGATTTTCTAATTTTCACCTTAAAATTTTCATTATCAAATTTTCATTATCACTTTATCCCATTTCTCTTATGGTCTCTAGGAGTTCAATACAGTACCTGTATTTGATGGATCCAAAATTAACTGAAGAGATGGCCGATTTGTTTGGCTGGCTGAAACATCCTCAAATGAATGATCTGAAATCTCACTGGAACTTTGGCGATCAACAAGAAGACTGCTTTGCTCTTTCTCAGAATCTCTCAAAATCTCTTCCATGGCTTTTTCCAGTTGTTCATCACCATTAGAAACTATCTATAGACAAAACAAGATTCTGTTTCAGTCATATTATGGCTCTGGAGCTTAATGAAAATATTTCATTTCTAGAAGAAATTAAAACAATCTGAAAATTTAAACAGAGTTACTAAATACCAAGAATTTATACAGTTGTACCTAATTTCACTAGATATAATGCAAAATCCTGAATCATAAAACCAACTAAATTGGAGGATTATTAGTTTCAGAAAAGGAATTCTTCAGAAAACACTTCAGGCAGTTTCTAACTACATCTGATCTAAGACCATAATTACTCACAGAGATTTCCTTTTCTTGTTTCTTTCTTTTTATTTTTTAGGAACATATTCTAAAAACCAGGTAATCTTAAATTTATGTGTTTTACAGGGAAAAACTGATAAGCTTAAACAGACAGTGCCTACTGTAAATATCATTTAAAAGGCCATTTTTCTTGTTATCATAACATAAACATATTTCTGATTTCTTTAGAAATTTTGCTTGCTAGCTGCCAAAAGGAGTATTGTTAATTTCCTTACATTTAAGTTGACTCATCTTTTTCTTAAAAGCAGGTGAAACACAAAGCCTAAGTAAATAAATGATGTCTTAAACACATTAATATTAACATACAGATATTTGAATAAACTCAGTCATTTATTTAAACACATATTTGAATAAATTTAAATAAGGCCATTGATTATTGTAATAAAATTACAAAACTATATACCCTCAATATAATGTAAAATGGTTATTTAATAATCTGATTTTTATAAAATTTTATTAGATTAATATTTATTAGATTGATATACTAATATAGTTTTGATGCCACAGTTACTATTAAATAAAAGTCATAAACAATATGTAGCACTTTTGACTAACTTCTCTATTCCTGTTTCTAGAGGGTGGTTATGCAATTCTCACGCTTGTATACCTGGGTTTGTATGATTCTTTTTCTTTGTTAGGAAAGGCAACATAAAAATGAAAAAGAAAAAGGACCATATCCACATAAAAACTCAACTACTAAAAGTATGACATATACTTAAAAAATATTCAGACAAGTCAACTGTTAAATCACATACTAGAATGTTCTCAGCTGATTTAAAACATAAAAACCATAAAGAAGTCTCTGAAGTGAAAGTAAAACATAACTATTTATGTAACTTTCAAAACCCAGCAGTAAGAGAGACAAAAATGTCCAGATAAATTAAATTTATGTCAGATTTAATCATTAAGTCTAACTCAACAATTATCCTTTCTCTTCTTTTTTCCCTTCTAATACCTTCTTTCCAAAATTCTGAATTAAAAGATAAATAACCAAAAGCAAAAGACTTTAAAAATACACAAACCATATAATTAGCCTCTGGAATAAGTTTTACCTAGTTAAAAAAAACAATAAGTTAAGTAGTATCATTTGTAGAAAAGAAAAAAATACCTTCAGTTCAGGTTTTTCGTCATGTTTTGTAGCAGTATCATCTGCATGCTGAGGAACCAAAACAAATTCTTCATTGTTTCGTGTAGCCACAGAATCTGATGACCCACTAACCTTCTGTAATGAAGCTCTGACCTCCATTTCAGTTCTGCAAACTTCTTCTCCTATATCCACCTGGTTAAAACCACAGGGATTATTTTAAAAAACACATACACAAAAAAACTAGTGATTAAAAACACAAACCTGATCAATCCTCGGCCTTTAAAAATGGTTCATGTGAAGAAGAATCCTGCTGGCTAGATAATTATCTCAAAACTAGGGAGGCTACCTTCTTGAACTGGGCCACATAATGGAAATGTACTCTCTTCACCCTGAGCTTCCAGACTAAAAGACCCATACTGTTTCCTGAAAAACAACACAAAACCGCCTATATCTCAACTAAACAGATTTACTACTGTTTGACTCTCTCTATATTTCTCCTAGAAATACTGTTCTTGTTCTTTTTAATAAATAGAGGAAATAATTAAGCATGATACTAGAAGCACCTACAAACTCACACACAAACAAAAATACATTCACTGAAATTACTTTATAATTAAATCTAAATGCCTCCAAAAATGTATTTCCTCAAGACCAAGTATTGTACCTTAAAATATTTTTTCTGTGTCACTTTAGTTTACCAATTAATATAGAATTCAACACTCTAAGCCAAACATCTTTTCTTTTCCAGACACATTACCATTTATTAGCAGGAGGGAAAAAAAAGGCCAAAGCTTTCACATTGCATTCATATAGCAAACAATATTTCAGTAATCAAACACCGTGTAATTCTGTTTTACGGATAGATCTCTATTTTACACCACAGAAACTCAACATTCTCTATCACTTCCAGAAGTTGAAATATTCACACAACTGATTTTAACTCAACATGTATACTACATAACAGACACTATACTCAGCACTGGAGTTACACAAATGAATAAAACAGACACGTTGCCTGCTCTCCTGGAGTAAACATCTAGCGAGGAAAGAAGCAAGTAAGCAAATAAAGTAATTCTAAATCACTCTAAAGGCTATAAAGAAAACAAAATAGGTTAATGTGACAAAGAGTTGCTGTTAGGAGTGTAGGGACAAGTTTAAGTAAGGTAGTAGGAAAGGACTCTGAAAGAAAAATATTTGAGCTGAAACCTGAAAGAAAAAAAAAGAACCATATATTAAACAATCTGCTCAATGACCAAAGGGATAAATGTAACACAGGGGTAGGACAAGTAGGCCGGAGCTAAAGAACACAGGACCTTGTAACTATGGTAAATCTACTGATTCATGCCTAAAATCCCTCCAGAAATGTTCTTTTTCTCTTTCTAAGAGAAAAAGGCACTTTGTTCATGGCCTCACATAAATATGGATGCAATATCTCATTTTGCCATTAGGTGACACTAACACCATTACTCCTGGTGAAAAAAAAAAAGATTTACTTCCAGCTTCAAGCCACACTTTAAAAAATTAATTACTTCCAACTTTATCATAAATCAAAATTTCTAATAATATAAAAATAAAGAATAATTATACTCTTAGGCTAATGTAATTAGCTAGCCATCATTTATTTCTGTTAAGAATGTTAATATCCTTCCTTTTTAAAACTCTTCAAGCACATTCATCTGTCCTTAAAGGTTTTTCTCATTTTGCATAGTATACGTTTCTGAAAATGCAGTACGCACTGGAAGCCACGTGTTTATCCTTCCATGCTGTCCCATGTGTCCTTGATTGCCAAGACACCACACATTCCAGGTGTTCTTTCTGTGGCCAATCCTTCCCCAAGACCTTTTCAGTTGCCACTCCTCCATTTGACATCTAAACGTTGGAAATTCTCCAAATTCAAGTCTTAAGACTTTTTCTGATTCCTTGCCACATACTCTAAGTAATATCTCTCACTGCCCTGGATTTAAATACCATCTATATGCTGACAGTCTCCCAAATTTCTATCCCAACCCAAATGTCTCCTCTAAATTCCTGATTTGGAATCCAACTCTCTGCTTGATATTTCCAGGTGGAATTCTTATCAGTATCTTAAATGTAACCCAAATGCAATTCCTAATGTCTCCTCCAAACTTGTTCTCATTCCGATTTCCCTTTTAAATTGATAATACCACCTTTTACCAAGTTGCTCAAACAAGAAATGTGGAGATCACCCTTGATTCATCTCTACTTCTTCATTCCTTACATCAGCAAGTCATGTCAGGCCCACCTCCAAAATAAAACCCACATCGATTCCATCTTTCCCCATGTCCATTTTTACCAACCTAATCCAAGCAAATGTATTCATCTACTATAAAAGTCTCCTAACCCATGTCCTACCTCCAGTCTTCTCCTCCCTAATCCACTCTTCACAGAGCTGCCAAAAATCTTTTGGAAAATAAATTGGATTACATTAAAAATCTAAACTAAAATCTTTTCACTAAAATTCAAACAAAACCCAAACTCCTTGCCACGACTTACAAGGCCCAACGCACTCCTGCCTCATCCCTTTATCATTACAGCTCTTTAAACACAGGAAGTGTTTTCCCATTTTAAGGTCTTAGCTCTTGCCTCCTACCTTTATATGGCTGATTCCTACAGGTATCAGCTTTCATTCATCCATTCAACAAATATTTAATGAGTCCCTAATACGTGCTAGAAACTATAATGGGAACTGGTGACTAAATGATGAGTAAGACCAATGCAATCCCGGTCTTCCTAGAGCTAACATTCTTATGGAAGAGATAAATAACATAGAAGAAAACAAATCAGGATCACATACTGGAATAAATACTATAAAAGGTGATGAAGAAGGCAGGAGGCAATATAGACCCAGTTGACATTTGGACTCAATGAGTAAGCCATGGAAAGAACTAGTGAGAAAGAATTCCAAGTAGAAGAAATAGCAAATACAAAAGCCCAGATGTAAGAAAAGCCTTATTGAGCAACAGAAAGGAGGCGATGATAGCTAGAGCATAATGAGTATGGGAAAGAGTAGTATGAGATGAGATATGGAAAGGAAGGCAGAGAAGCCTGAGGCCACCCTTACTGCTAAGGCTATCTAAATAAGTCCCCTTCCCAATCCCAACTCTGTTTTGTTTACCAGAAAATAGCCATGCCTAGTGTAGTACCTAGTACAAAGTAGATATTCAATAAACGTGTTGAACAAATTGTTGTCAAAAGCACCAATCAGCCTAAAGTTCTCACAAATAACAAATGTGGAGCCAGGATTCAAACCAGGTAGTTTGACTTCAGAGTATAAGTTCTGAACCACTACATTATACTGTCCCTGAAAGGCTCCTCCTCTGTTCCTTGAGACCCAGGGTATCTGCTCAACAGAACATCACTATGCACAATGAACCTTCTCCATACCTCTCTTCCATGAAAACTTATCTGTCTCTTCCCCCAAAGCATTCTTCTTAGATAAGTGATAGTTAACCTGATAGTTAACTCTGAACTGACATGTTAATGAATACTAATGGATGCTCAACTCAAATAAGATGTCCATTTTTTTTATTGACGTTTTAATAGTTTATAACATGGTGAAATTTTTGGTTGTACATTTTTGTTTGTCCATCACCATATATATGTCTCCCTTCACCCCTTGTGCCCACCCTCTACCCCCACTGCCCCTGGTAACCACAATACAGTTTTCTCTGTCCATGTGTTGGTTTATATTCCATATATGAATCAGATCATACAGTGTTTGTCTTTCTCTTTCTGGCTTATTTCACTTAACATAATACCCTCTAGGCCCATCCATGTTGTCACAAATGGGATGATTTTGTGTTTTTTTATGGCTGAGTAGTATTCCATTGTATGTATATACCACATCTTCTTGATCCAATCATCAGTCGAGGGACACTTGGGTTGCTTCCACTTCTTGGCTATGGTGAATAATGCTGCAATGAACATAGGGGTGCATAAGCCTCTTTGGATTGTTGATTTCAGGTGCATTGGACAGATTCCCAGTAGTGGGATAGCTGGATCATAGGGCATATCTATTTTTAATTCTTTGAGGAATCTCCATACCGTTTTCCATACAGGCTGCACCAGTTTACATTCCCACCAGCTGTGTATGAGGGTTCCTGTTTCTCCACATCCTCTCCAACATTTGTTGTTTTTTGTCTTGGTGATTATAGCCATTCTAATTGGCGTGAGGTGATATCTTAGTGTCGTTTTGATCTGTATTTCCCTGATGATTAGTGATGTTGAACATCTTTTCATGTGCCTATTGGCCATCTATATAGGTCATCTGTATATCTTCTTTGGAGAAGTGTCTGTTCATTTCCTCTGCCCCTTTTTTGATCAGGTTGTTTGTTTTTCTGTTGTTCAGTTGTGTGATTTCTTTATATATTATGGAGATTAACCCCTTGTCAGATATATGTTTTGCAAATATTTTCTCCCAGCTGGTGGGCTGTCTGTTTATCTTGAGTCTGGTTTCATTTGTCTTGTAGAAGCTCTTTAATCTGATGAAGTCCCACTTGCTTATTTTTTCTTTAGTTTCCCTAGTCTGGGTAGGCGTGTCATCCAAAAAGATTCCTTTATGACCAATGTCATAGCTACTTTGTCGAATATGTGTGGTTTTATTTCTGGGCTTTCAATTCTGTTCTGTTGATCTGTATGTCTGTTTTTGTACCAGTACCATGCTGTTTTGACTACTATTGCTTGGTAGTATGTTTTGGAGTCAGGGATTGTGATGCCTCCAGCTTTGTTCCTTTTTCTTAGGATTGCTTTAGCTATTCGGGGTCTTTTGTTGCCTCATAAGAATTTCAGTATTCTTTTTTCTATTTCCATGAAGAATGTCATCGGGATTCTGATTGGGATTGCATTGAATCTGTAGATTGCTTTAGGTAGTATGGACATTTTAACTATGTTTATTCTTCCAATCCATGTGTATGGGACGTCTTTCCATTTCTTTATGTCATCATTGATTTCGCTCAATAATGTCTTGTAGCTTTCATTGTATAGGTCTTTCACCTCCTTGGTAAGATTTATTCCTAGATATTTTAATCTTTTTGATGCAATTGTACATGGTATTATCTTTTTGAGCTGTCTTTCTGTTAGTTCATTATTAGCACACAGAAATGCAACTGATTTTTGTAGATTGATTTTGTACCCTGCGACTTCACTGTAGTTGTTGATTATTTCTAATAGTT